AACATAACCAAAGCCGTAGATCAGTAGATTTGATTTAAAATAGAACTTCCTCAGTGCTAAAGCAGCTTCAAACATACCATTGTGCAAAATCAGATTAAACGCTTCCCAGAGATCTTCATATCATTGTCCCTTCTGCCAAGTGCTTTCCTTTGAAAAAAAATTTATAAAGACTGAAAGAAAAATAAAAGCATATTTTGCCAAAAAGGTATTTCTTACTACCTAGGCTTATAAAAAAGCTTATGCTTTTCAAACTGTTTGTGGGAACTCTCCCATGTGAGACCCCCAAGTAGTGGGTCACACCATATGGTTGAGCTTGATCCCAGACATAGGCCCCCTGTTGGAGGTAGTCGAGCTATGGGGAAGAAGGACTGCAAGAAGGCTTATTTGATATACAAAAAATAACATTAGTTATTACTCTATTGTGCTGAGGTGATGGGAGGCACGGTGTCCACTTTTGGTTCTCACGGTGTCTACTTTTGGTTCTCACAGTGTCCACTTTTGTTTCTCTATTCATTATAGTTCCTTCTTAAAGTTATGCCTTAAATCTTCAAAGCAAGCTGATAGTAAAAATTGCTTTGTTTATGTATTTCCTGCACCTGGACCCTTGATGCAGTATTTACAATACTGCTTGTGACTTAATGATTTATAATGTAGCCTGTGATTTTCTTGTGAAACTCCTGCCCTAGATAAATAGTTTCTTTTAAACTTTTAAACTTAGATATTGCACCTGGACTCTTGTGACTGATAATTGCACCCCCTGCTTTAACCTGATTATGTATCTCCCTGTTCCCAGCATATTTATCCAAAATATGGTGACTTGTGATTGTATTGTAAAACTTTCTGTTCCCACGAAACACTGATCCCGTGACATAATCACTTCTACTTGTAATGTATATAATCAGACCCTGAGTTCAATAAAGCTGTTGGTGAAGCATCTGACTTCTCAACCCTCCAGACCCTGTCTGTTCTTTCTTCTTCTCTTCCGCACACCCCCCTCTCCAGGTTAGGACCCTCTTGCTGGCCAAGAGCCCCCTGGCAGACATGCCAGCCCCCACACTGTTAACACATTTGATATCCTCACAACAACCCTGGAAGGTAGGTGGGGTGGGTGGCATTACCATTTCAGATGAGACGCTAGGGCTTACACAGTTGTGATGTTGCTCACTGCACATGGGCTCCAGGTCAAGTGGGCCCATGGGCACAGGACTGCATCCACCTAGAGGAAGGAGCATGTTTTTCTAATTTGCATAAATGGTCTCATTTGCTTTCCACTAGTCCTATGAACTGTGAGCTTACAGAGCAGACCCCTAAAAGATGCCTTTGCTAATTTGCACAAGGACACAGTATAGGATGGTGAAAACTATTTCCCATGACCATCCAACCTAACAGCAAAAGCACAACGATCAGGATCCAGGTCTACTGACTTCCAGTTCACGGCTCTGAAAAACATAAAGTGAAAATTCACCCAGTGGATGGATTGACTGACATCTTATAAATAGTCACATAGCTCCTTCCTAGGAATCTCTGAAGGATTCCTTTATGAATGAATAGAAAGAAAGGAAGTACAGTGACATGCATGATGTTAACACTATCCCACCACTAGACATTTAGTCTCCAAATATTTGTCTCTCGTTTTCCCAGTTCTGCCTTCCAAAATGTCCTTCTTAACTTCTTTTTCACTATGTACCAGGTACTTCGCTAAATATTTAATAAGAATTATAACAGGTTCTAACTGACTAGGCTACATAAGTGACCTCATCTATACCACACAGCACACAAAAACCAACCACTTTTCACAGCATCATGAAAATTAAAAGCCTGTCCTTGGTTTAAGTCACTAAGTTTTGGAGTGGTTTGTTACATACCAATAGATAACTTAAACATTCTATGTTCTCACCCTAACACACATCCAAATTATACCTTTATATCAGGGACAATAGGTCCACTCAGCTGAGCAAACCCTGAGAGAAGACTGTGAACAAAATGAAACAGATTGAGCACAGCAAAGTTATTTGGGTTTTTTCGTTTTGTTTTGATTTCGAGACAAAGTCTTTCTCTGTCACCCAGGCTGGAGTGCAATGGCATGATCTATCTCAGCTGACTGCAACCTCCACCTCCTGGGTTCCGGAGATTCCCATCTTAGCCTCCTGAGTATCTGGGATTACAGGCATAGGCCACCACACCTGGCTAATTTTTGTATTTTGGGTAGAGACGGGGTTTTACCATGTTGGCCAGGCTGGTCTCGAATGCCTGACCTCAAGTGAACCACCAGTCCTCGGCCTCCCAAAGTGCTGGAATTACAGGCATGAGCCACTGTGCCTGGCCAGCAAAGTTGATTCTGAAACACTGTATTCCCTCAATAATCATTGGAGTGCCTATTATATGCAATGCAGCACAGCCTGGTGGCTAAGGGTGTGGGTTTTGGATCCATGTGTTAAAATCTTGGCTCTCCTACCTGCTAGCTGTGGGAACTTGAGGAAGGCACTTGGACTTCTCTGGTCCTCAGTTTCTCCATACTGTAAAATGGAAATTAATCATAACTACTTCCTGAGGCTGCTGGGGGCAGTAAACATGATAAAGTATGTAAAGCACACATGAGCGCACATACACACACACCACACCACACACCACACACCACACATCCAGCCTTCCTAGGAAACTCCTATTCATGCTTCAGCCATCATTTCACAAGTGCCACTTCTTCAGGGAACCCTTTCCTAAAGATCACCCTCTCTGACTTCAGCAGGCCTCCCTGCTGTATTCAAGCACCATGCATTTTCCTTTTGTAAATACACATCATCCATTTGAATTTTATGTTCATTTGCTCATCATTTATTTATGTTAATCTCACCCACTATACAGTAATCAGCTCCATGAGAACAGGGTCTGTGGTGCCCTCCTACGTTTTTCTAGCACCTAGCACAAAGCTTGGCACACAGAAGGTAAGTATCTGTTCAATGAAAGAAAAGCATTTACCAAAAGCTGACAATGTGCTGAGACCTCCATAAATGAGAGCCTGGCATTGTGTTACGTGTTTCTGAAGGAGTGAGTCTCACCTTTAAAAACCTGAGAGTCTAACAGGGGAACACAACACATACAGAAGTCACCATGTGTCACTGCAGAAGGTCAGCAAGGCCTAGGTAAAGTGTCCTGCAAGTTCTGAGGACCCAAAAAGATTTTACAAAAGAGCAGTGGCATAAGAGTACCCACACTTCAAGTGCTAGTCCTAACCCCCCCAAAAAAAACTGGGTGTTGGCTGTTACTTTTTGGGCCCAGAAGCCTGGCCTAAGGCAAAGACTACAACAGATCCCTAAATCATTCTTTCATTCATTTATTCATTGATCAGGTTTTTATTAAATACCTAGTAGTAGGTGTTAGGCACTAGTCCAGCTAACTGAAAATCAATGAACATATCAGCAAGCTGACATTCCTTCTAAAGAGGCCCCTATAACAACAAAATGTTAAACAATGTCCTCCTCACTCCTCTGTGACCAGGGCCACCATGTTACCTCCTCTAATGGAGGCTATGCCTTATCATTGAACAAATAACCTTCGTCTTCCCAGCATTCCCCTTAGTTTGGCTTCCAGGCTGCATATGGAGTTCAATGTCCAATGGCTGCTAACCAAGACAAATTGCAACTGTTGCAAATCTTAAGAAAGTGAAAGATGAGGAGACCTTAAAAGATATTCTGGTACAACCCTTTCAGCTTAGATGTGAAAACTAAGACCTAGAGAAAAGACCCTTGGCCAAGGTCACCCAGAAAACTAACCACGGACGGAACCAGAGCAGAGTCCAGGAGTCCTACCTCCCAGACCTGGGCGCTTTTGACTTTTCAAAGCCATTTCTCATTTTTCTATTATAATGACCCACAATCCTAGAAACAGTCTTTAGGATTCAGGGCCACTCACTATTGAGGAAGAGTTCATTATTTGTACTGAAATCAGTTGTAGTAATACAAACAACATAACATTTTAGAGTCCTAACTAAACATCAGTAGCAGTGAGAAAAAGAAAAATAGCTCAGAGCAGACTGTGTGAGCTCTGGTGAAATATTCAAAATCGATCAAGCCCAGAAAGTCAAGAGTATAGGAGTTTAGTGATCCCCTCCTCATCCAACCCATTTCTGGGAGCAACTAGTTAAAGACATTTTGTTCCTAACCAGCTGCCTTACCCATTATCTTCAAGTTCCCGGAATTTGTGATACAAAGAACAATGTACAGCCAATCAATAGTTTATGTTATTTTAATATAAATTATTGGTAAACAACTTAGAAAAAGCTTATTTTCCTTTAAAACCCCCCTTTTGACATCTGCTCATCAGAATGTGTACTTAGAGTACCTTCACTCCCAGGATGCAGTCCTCAAACTTGGCTCAAATTAACTCTCTTCTTATATTGATTTTGCCTCAGTTTCTTCATTTAGGTGACAGCTGTGATAAGCACTTTACATGAATTACCTCATTTGGATCCTCACAACAGCAATGTGAGTCGGTAATACTATTTTCCCTATTTTACAGATTACCAGACTAAAGCACAGAGAGAGTAAGCAAACTGCACCAAGTCCCACAGCTGTTTAATAAGGGAAACTGGAGAGGCAGCGGAACGAACATGCTGAGTAAACCAGGAGGACAGCCCGACGGCCTCCCCTCGCCATCGGTGCCTTTAAGGGGTCAGTGATGAACCGGAAAGCTCCACACGTCGGTCATCTGCAACCCCACGGGGCCCGCGAACTGGGTTTCCCCGAGGCTCTTTCTGAAAGCCACTCCTTTCAGCTGGGGCAGATGTGAACGTGATGCCTAGCACGGCGCCTTTTCCGGCTCCCTGTAAAGGGAGTCTTCGAGGAAACCACCCCGCCCCCCACCCCCGACCCACACATCCCTGAAGCAAAGCCCGCGGCTGAAAGGAGAGAGGCGCGTGCGAGCTTCCGCTAGGATGGAGGAGAGGAGAGAGCGGCAAGCAGCTGAGGCAGCGCGGGATCCGGAGGATGGAAGCGGGGCGGTACCTTTCGGAGAAAGCTGGCCACCACCTGCTCGAAGGGGTATTTGTACACCTGGTGCACGTCCACCGTGACCCCCATCCCCGCGCGCCCCGGGCCCCGCGCGCCGGCCACGCCTCCGCGAGAGCTGGGCTGCCCCGGGCTCGGCCGAGGCCCGTAGGCGCCCACAGTCGGACAGCCACAGGGGCGTGGACTTTTTCCTCAGCCTTTCAAACTTTCCAAACTTTATTGGCCACTCGAAGAAATGAGCAGTCGGCCACGCCCACGCCCCTTACGCCAGTGTCCGGGGCGGGGGCGTGGCAGAGCGCGGGAAGCGCGGGAGCGCGCCCAGAGCACCCAGGGCCCCAAGGTCGCCCCGCTGGCGGCGCCAGAGCGGCTCCGTTGCCCTCCCGCGGCCGCGCCTTCCGAGAGAAGTTTCTCCGCCCCGGAGGCACCACGCCCCGCCCCGTGAAACCTAGACGTTCGGCTTGTGCTTTTATGGCATCACCGCCGGGAGTCACAGAATAAGCCGTGGTTGGAGCACTGGAAAAAAGTATTAATAAGGAAAGTCTGGTATGACAAAGGTCAGCATTACTCGCGCCACCGGGCAGCTGTCTCTGCGGCTTGGGCTTGGGCCTCGGGTACCGTAAAGATTGCCTCGGGAATAAAAGCGCGGTTTAGCACATCCCACCCTGCAGAGAAGTTCCTTTGCTCGCTGAGATTAAACACCACGGAGCGAGGAACTAGAGGATACGAGAAGAGTTGCGAGAATTATTCTTCACGGCGACGCACAGATGTTGGGCGAACCAGCACGTTAATCCGTGTATTCAGCGAGTTACTGAGCACAGTTCTGAGGCCTCCCATGCTCCAGCGCTGTGATGGGCGCTGCGGATTCCGCGGGTAGGAAACACCGGCCCTGCTGATGAGCCAGCTGAGTTCACACCCAATCAACAAGCTGGGAAAATAAACACAATATTCAGTTAAAGGGACACGGACGCGGGCATGATTTTAGCGAGGGTGATTATGGAAGGTCTCTGAGGTGATGACTTTTACGATTTTGCCTTATGCCCCTGCCATACACAGTCACACTGGTCTGCCAAAACCCTAGCCTTGTGAAATTCTAGCTCTCCTTTGACTGCCTCTACCCAAGCCACCGGAAGGGGCTGGAGGAAATACACACCCACTGTGACGGGCATCTTTTAAATTCATAACCACTAACCCTAAGGGGCCTTGATTGGTGCCAGACAAATACAATTTAAAGGTACTGAATTTCTGGCTGGGCACGATGACTCATGCCTGTAATCCCAGCACTTTGGGGGGGCCGAGACGGGAGGATCACCTGAGGTCCGGAGTTTGAGACCATCCTGGCCAACAAGGTGAAACCTTGCCTGTAGTAAAAATACAAAAATTAGCTGGGCATGGTGGCACGTGCCTGTAGTCCCATCTACTCAGGAGGCTGAGGTACGAGAATTGCTTGAACCCGGGAGGCAGATAGTGCAGTGAGAGGAGATCGCGCCACTGCACTCCGGCCTGGCACCTGGCAACGAAGTGGTACTCTTGTCTCAAAAAAAAAAAAAAAACAAACAAACAAAAACAAAAATTAGCCGGGCGTCGTGGTGGGCACCTGTAATCCCAGCTACTCGGGAGGTTCAATTGCTTGAACCTGGGAGGTGGAGACTACAGTGAGCCAAGATCGCACCCCTGTACTCCAGCCTGGGCAACAGAGCGAGACACCACCTCAAAAAAAAAAGAAAGAAAAAGAAAGTACTAAATTCTTCTAATCTGCTTACTCACCCACACTCTTTTAACCTCACACCTCTGACATCTTTGTTGCCAGTCTCATACTCCAGTCATTACCTTACTTCCATTTTCACTTAGTAAGTAGGTCATTTCGCTCTACCACCAGACGAAATGCCCTGCCTTCCCTCTTGTTCCTGTGGATGTACTGTCAGCACTTTGGTTTAGCACCAGTGTCTCCATTTTGTCCACTGAATCCTGAGGTGAGCTGAAAAATGTGTAACAAACAACTCTCCTTTAAAATATAAACTAAGCAAGGCCCTGATTTCCAAAGATTGCTGATTCCTGTGCTGTAAATACTCCTACCATGTTTAAAGATGCCAAGTTGATGTCACTAAACACAAGTTGGGGATTTATCGACATGAAGTTTAGGGAGGAGTGGGAGTTGGGGAGGGAAGCACAGAATCACACCATTATATAGTATTTCCACCACCCATATACAAGAGCCATAAAGAACTAAGAACATTGATAATGGGAAAATGTAGTAGGAAAGGATGAGTTTTCAATGTTTATTACTTTTTGGCCAGACTCCTATGGTTCATGCCTGTAACCTCAGCACTTTGGAAGGCCAAGGCAGAAGGATCACTTGAGACCAAGAGTTTGAGACCAGTGTGGGCAACATAGTGAAACCCTATCTCTATAAAAAATAAAAAATTAGCCAGGTGTGGTGGTGCACACATGTAGTCCTAGCTACTTGAGAGGCTAAGGCTAGAGGATCTATTAAATCCAGGAGTTCAAGTCTGTAGTGAACTATGATCATGCCATGGGCCACAGAGTGAGACCCAGCTCAAATAAATAAATATTTATTTTTATACATACTTTATGTGATTGTAGATTTATGTACTTTAATGATAGCTGTGTTGAACAGCCAGCTCTAGTATATCACTGTGAATTTATGTACATTAATGATAGCTGTGTTGAACAGCCAGCTCTAGTATATCACTAAAAGTTCCTGTCCCCTTTCTTGTTCAAGGCCATCTCACTAGAAATATTCCCTTTCCTTTCTGCACCATCAGCTTTTGTCTCTACTGGACCATTCCAGCCAGCACAAGTACACTGTAATTTCTTCCATCTTAAAAAAAAAAAATCACTCTTAATCCCCTATCTTCCTCCAGCTGTATTCCAAGTCTCTCTCCACTGATGCTCCTCAAAAGAGTTGCCTGTAATCTCTTGAGCCCATTCCAATCAGTTTTTGCCCCCACCACTTCACTGAAACTACTGTTGTCAAGGTCACCGATGACCAAATTGCTAAATCCGATAATTCTTAATCCCCACCTTACTAAGCCTGTAGGCAGCATTACCTTGAAATACAGAGGGAGGAGTGGAGAGGAAAATGAGATGTGAACGCTCTTACATGTGTTGGATGCATGTTTAAAAGCCACTCCACTGTATCACCACTCCCTCCTTATAGGAAAACAAAAAGCAGTCTTCCAGGGACACTGCACAGACCCACAAAGGAGAGATCAATGACCTGAAGAGTTTATGGTATTTTGTATCTGCCTCCGTTACCAGAGTAGCTGGAGACGAGATGTGACATACAAATCCCCTGCTAGGGTGGATCCTGGACCCTGTATCCTCAGTCCACTCTGACCATCAATTTCTTCCAGAATATATCTTTAAGCAGGACTTAATCTCCTGATTAAGTAACCATGAAAGGGTAAAGTTGTGTCCTGAAAGGTTAAAGGCTCCACCACCTGCTACCTCTACTTGGGGCTGGCTGGTTGAGTGACTTGTATAAGAATAAATGCTACCTATCCATTCCAAGGACATTGGGGCTTTCTGAAACGTGTGCCAGTCTTGACAACATGAGCCTATAATCTTGTAGCTCCGAAGCACCGCCAGTTTGCACAACAGTAATCTTACTTGCTGGGTCCCCTGAGGGGGAGAGAAGAAACTGTGAAACAAATTTCCATTGCTTTGAAATTGGTTGGCTTAACTGGTCAGAGACTTGAGGACAGAAATTTGCTGGCCAACCTTAGAAGTTCATGACCTTATTCAGTCTTTAAGATACCAAATATCTTACCAAAGAGCTTTTGTAAGATATCAAATAACTTTTGTGTCTTCAGAGGGAGGCACAATAGTTTAAACATGGTAGACATCCAATACACTTAGGTTGAATGAATGAATGATTATAAAGGCTGCAAAATTTAAGTGGCACAAAACTCCAGTCCTGACTCTGTCTCTGTGCTTTTCTTGCCTTCTTCACATTAGTTCAGTTCCCTCTTCTGACCATCCTGACCATCTCTCTATCACTGATTTTTTTGTATCCAGTCTCATAATTGTCTGTATATAGAAATACTTCACTGTTACTGTGACATCCTCAAGACTAGAGGAACTGTATATTATTCACTCCTCTCTGTCCAGTGCCTAGTAAAATGCCTGGCACCTAGTATATGTTGAATAAATTCATGAATGTACTTACTATGCAATATGGCCTTGAACAAAATTCTTCCTGCCCCTGCAGCTCAGTTTTTCCATCAACAAAACCTGAAATGCAGGGGCAGAAATTGAGTGGGCCAAGACTGTCTCTAAAATCCAGCAACTTGACATTTGAGATGTGGGATAGAGACACCGGCCAAGGTAGGGAACAGGGATATAGTTATTGAAAACAGAGTACAGAAAGAGAATTTGCAAGGAACACACAGCAAAATCTCAGAATAGATTCAAATATGTAAAATATCAACTATGATAAGTAAGTGTGGGTACTAAGGAGAGAAAATAAACTGGAGAAGAAGGATGAGAAGTGAGGGCAGGGCAGGGGAGAGAGGAGCAGTGTTAAATTTTTTTTTTAAGAGCTAAGGAAGACCTTCCTAAGAAAGTGACATTTAAGTAGAAAAGTTGAAAGAAGAGAAGGAGCAAATCCCACTCACATTTGGAGGAGGACCATCTAGGCTAGAAGGAAAGGCAGATGCCAACGCCCTGAAATAGGCGTTCTCCTGAAACATTTCAGGACTGCAAGGAGGCCAGTATGGCTGAGTTCCTGAGAGATAAGTTCAGAAAATAAGGATCTAGGTCACCTAGGGTCCTCCAGGCCATGGTAAAGATGCTGGCTTTGTATGACATGGGAAGCCATTGAGAGTTCTGAACAGAGGAGAGACAAATGGAGAAGCAAAGCAAAGAAAGAGACCAATTAAGAGGTATGATATTTTCCATATATATATATTTTCATCCCTGGTTCCAGGCTCATTAACTCCCATAGCCCTTGCTACATACAGCATTTGGCTATAATGTTGGGGCACTGTAGGCCTCAGAAGGAGGCTTTTCTCTCTCTCACCTTCTTCTGACTTCCCTTCACCTGCCCAAGGCAGGACTCTAATCTTTCCTAGCCTTTCTGATTGTGGGTCATAAGACTCTCATTCCAGAAAACATCCTGCGTCATACCTTGTAGGAAAGAATGCTGTACAGGGAGGCCAAGAAGAAGCTAGACAAATGGGTCTTGCTGGGTTTCCTGACTCAATCTGTTAGTATTAGATCATACCCTTTTTTGGCTAATCATATTTTTACCTGGTTGCCTTCAATCATGTCTATCCAATGGAGTCTTTCTAAGACACCCAAAAAAAACAAGGTTCAGAGAGCTCCCAGATCGCCAAACATGGAGATTCCTGGAGGATGATGCACACTGGGAGGGCGTGGAAGCTCCATACCTCTTCCCCTATACCTTGCTCTATGCATGTCTTCAGTTACATACTTTGTATTATCCTTTACAATATACTGGTAAATGGAAGTAAGTGTTTCCCTGAGTTCTATGAGCTGCTCTACTAAATTAACTCAATTCAAAGAGAGGGTCATGGGAGGCCAAACTTGAAGTCGGTCACTCAGAAGTTCTGGAGGCCAGGACTTGCAACTAGCATCTGAATGGGGACAGTTGGGACCACATGGTGATCATGTGGGACTGAGTCCTCAACTTTTGGGTTCTGAACTATCTCCAACTAGTGTCAGAATTGAATTGGAGAACACCTACCTGGTGTCCACTGCAGAACTGAGTGCTTGTTTGCTGTGTGGGGAGAAACCACACACACATTTGGTTACAGAAGTCTTCTGTGTTGATGATTGCTGCGGTGCGAGAGCACAATAAAAAAAAAAACACGGGCCGGGTGCGGTGGCTCACGCCTGTAATCCCAGCACTTTGGGAG